TTGGGGAACCTACAAGTAAATAATAGGGCCTTGGGGAACCTACAATAAAAAATATTAATGTTATCTTGTAATTGAGTTGGTTTCCCAATAGTTGTAAATTTGTAATTTCCTTTACTATGAACCTTCCTTTTGCTCATTTTATGAGGAATTAGTATTCCTATAGTGTAATCATTAAAGTAATGACCCACCTTTTGTAGATGTAAGGTAGAACAAAGTTCTCCAGCTTAGTCACATACTTGTCCAGGCCGGGGCAAACAATACTCTGGCCATAGACGGCGTCACAGTGGGAAAGATATTTGCTGGCACTCAATGGCACAAAACTGTGGTCAGAACCAACCTGTCAAGTAATTCAAAGTTTTTTGCTTAAAAAAAAAAAAATGAGGTTTTCGTTATGTAAAAAAAAATTATAGGTAAAATCCATTATGGTTTCTGACCTTACAGCACAGGAAAATAGAATCATGTGACATTTAAATGAAATATTCCAAAAAGGTTTTCCACGTGTCGATGTCAAGAAGCTTGACTTCAGTTATTTTGAAATGTCATGCACGGCCTCCCACCACCCACCTACAAACAATTGTCAACTAATTTTGGTTGGCTCTATCACGTGTAAAAAAAAAAAGCACTTTAAATATAAGGCTTTAAAAAATTAAAATGAAAAAAAATCTTCACTTCCAAAAACGAATAGAAAAAGTAATAAATAAAAAAAAATTGATATTGTTGCAAATCATCTTTTCCAGGGAATGTTTTATCTTGAAAATATCCATATGTATTTATGCAGCAATTTTATTTTAATACAAATTAATTGCATACAATTTGGTATAAACAATTTTCTTTAGCTGAATGTTTACTGGAGGATATTTCAAAGGCTAGTCAGTGAGAGAAATAAGTTAAGAAATACTAAAAGCCAGAGGTGTTCTTGCTAACAAGCCGCATCCTAGCAAACAGGATCCCTGGTGAAAATTGGGTCACAGACAACAGAATCTGGTGGCCCAAATAAGAACCAAGCACTGCCCTACTAATGCATACTTTCACAGGCTAGGCAACAACAGGAACATCTGTTGATTGAATGCCCAGCACTAGATCTTGAGGGGGTGGGAGAGTCCTACGTTAAGACAATGTTTAATGGCACTGCCCAGCAGATGGAGCTGGTTGCCAATGTACTAGTCAGGTTTTTAAGTGCGTAAACTCCAACCTCAGCAAGAATATGTGTTTTAGTTAGTTAAAAAGTACCAGTTAAGTTATGGCACAAACCTGTTTGAGGGATGTGTTGTTCACATCAGCTAGCAAGGGAAAGCTTTCTGGCTGGTGAGGTGATATGGAAAAGACTTTAAAGAAGATGACAGGCTTACGAGCTCCAGTCTCTATGGCAGGTTCTTGCCAAAACTCTGGGTCATCTTAGTTTATAAAAAGTTTTCAAGAATTACTAATATAACCTAACTGTGGATGTTTATAGAGTTATGGACCGTGGAATATTCATAAAGGAACCTTCCCACCTTACATATACCCCCCTGCAAATGTTAGAAATGTACAAGTTCTCAAAACCTTTATAGAAAAAAATTCAGATTAGTTTATTAATTTTGTGCAATGAAACTCTACCAAGATTAAAAAAACAAAAACAAAGAACACTTTATAAATTATCTAAAGAAAAATGTCTGACATAACTAACTTTTAAAGTTTAAAAAATGCCATATAATATGTTACAGAGCAATCAAGATAATTTAAATTTGTATCTCTTTTACCTGTACTATTGACAACAAAGACATCTCCCACACTAAGCAATCTGGAATATTAAATAAAAATATTGGTTTAACTTCATGAATATTTAAGTATATATTGTAAAAAATTGAAATGATTATTCATTATTTAAAATAAAACACTGAAGAATAACTGGCAACTGGATCAAAACATAAAGAGAGTACATTGGACAGGTTGTTATACCAGACTGTACGATTCTGTCCTAAGAAATAATTAAAAATATTGTATCATAATTTTAATTTGTTATAAAATTTCAAAAAACCACTAACGAGAAAGCAGCACAACTTGCCTCGGGATCTGAAAATATTTGCTGAGTGATTCCTCGTGTTTGGCTTGTGGTGGATAGCTGGGAGAGTTGATGATTTTGATGAGCACTTCGGTGGCATTGTTATAGTGGGCACTAACAGATCTATAATAGGGCTGATGGCCGCCATCTATTTCCGATACACTGCCCACTCTGGGCATGGTGGGGGGTTTCTGAAACCCCTATTCCCTGAGGTTTTATTTCAGCAGATATCTATTTTTTCTCTCATTAATTTGAAACCATAGACAGTTGATTTTTATTCAGAAAGCAAGCTGTCTCCTGACTTTTGGTGGCTCAGGGTTTTAAGTCAAGGTTGCCATCCTCCCCAAGAATTGCCGCCACAAGATTATTTACCCATTGGTTGTGAGGCGGACAGTGCTACATTCGTCAAGCACCAGGGCAGCAAACCCTCAAAGTCCTTTATATCAAGCATTAAAATTATATCAAGATTACCGATGCAATAAATCATGTCTTAAACAAAAAGGTACAGATTTACACCTTCAGCTTACCTACTGAAATTAAAGAATACATGTTGAGACACTAGTAGTAATGTATGTAAATTTGAGCATTGTAAGGTAAGAACTTAAACAATTCAGTTGAAAATGCAGCATCGTAAATTATGTTTCCATTGCAGCTACTTTTATTCAAATCTTCAATCTGCACCATCTTTCTAGAAGATACTAACCTCCAGGATCAGGAGAGGTGATTTTATCACGGGCGGTTCCTTCTGGAGGTTGAACAGCAGCAAAGATGAAATAAACAGCACATCTGTATCATCCAATCTCTTTGTCAGGGGGTAGACCCTTACAAACTTCTGTTTCAGCTTTTCTTGTTTGAGAAACTTTTTGACATCATCTCTGTTAATATCTCCTGTCAGATCCTTCTGATACAGGGTAATCTTCATAATTGTCCCTTTAATTATTCCATACTTTTTCATTAACTTAAAGGGCATGCCAACAGCAGTGGTTAAGTCAATAAAATTGACATCTTCATCCTGAAGAAGGACTTTACTCCAGTGGATTTTCTGCTGGATGACAAATGAGCTACAGATGAAAAAGTCGTTGAAGCTTGACTCTGCAGTTATGACTGAATCGGTATCTGCAGCCGCTTCCACCGACAACTGGCGACAAAAGTCTGATATCATAAATCCATTATGCATGTCCACATACTGTTCTATGTGGGTACCTGAAAAGTGACGATGTTTGGTGGGAAGATGTGTCAGGGCTTTTTCAAAGTAGATAATAATTTCAGTGTATGACTTGATGAGTCCCATTTGAAATGGTGCACAAGCAATTGCTTTAATATTAAAGTACCAAGATCTCTTGAAATTCGGGTCATCCAGAAACAGCTCTGGATATGGAGCAAGTAAAATGTCATTTTTTCGGACAAGTAGATCATGATTACATATTTCTTCCATGAGACCATCACTGAATTTATCCTGCTGCAGCCAGTCGTAAGTCTCTGAATTTGAAACAGAGAAAATAGCTTTGCTCAGAGGGAAGACCTCAATGCTTCTAATGTAAAAGAGGTCTGTTTCCGATATGTTGTAATGATCAAGGAAAAAGTTTGTACATTTGAGTGTTATTGAATAATTGTCATCGTCGCTGCTGTCCCCATCTATGGATAAAGATCGGCCCTCAGCGTCATCGTCTACAGGAGGGCTTGGTGAAGAAAGCTCTGGAATAGCCCAAACGCATACAATGATATCTTCAGCGGTCACCACGCTGGTGGATACTGTGGATCGCTTAGGAGATGAAGTTAAGCTTTCTGGTGTGTTAATCTGATTCAATGAAGTTGATGGAAATGAACTGTTGGCCCCAAGCGGTTCTCCAATTTCCTCAGGGTTTCTACAGACACGAATCGCACAAACAAACGTATTATCATCATCTGATTTCTTCAAAAGCGATGCATCACATTCAGCTATTTGAAGATGAAGTGCATTAATTCTCTTCTGATCATCGTCACCTAATTGTAGTTTAGCTTCATAGCTTCGTCTAAACTTCCCTATTTCATTTTTTGAAGCCATCTATAAATAAAACAAAATTAAAAATGAAAAATAGTAATACTGAACCAAAAAAAAAAATTAAATATTGTCTACAAAACTGAGGGGTAGCTAGAAATCTACACATCAGTAAAATTAATGAATGCTTCTGTCAGAAGAATTGAAGTTAAAATATGGAGTTACGAGGAAAAAAGTTTTAACAAACTAATATTCATAATAAAAGGAACTTGTGGTTGTAAAAAATGTCACTCAGTCAATTCAGTGAGTGGTGACCATAACTCATACTCAATTAGTAGTTAGTATAACTATATAAGTATAGCTATATTAGTACAATATATAATTAGTATAGTTAGTCATGCATTTCCTTTACTTTAACGAAAGCTTTTCTTTATTTTTTAAGAGCTCATTAGTGACATTAGGCTAAACTTTTTCTTGTTAGGAATTGAGTTTAGTCTTAGTTAAAAATCCGTCTTAAATATGTTTTAAAAAATGTATGGGAATTCGAATATATGAATTGAATGTGTCCTGTCAACAGTCCTACAAAAAAAAACAACATCGGATCGGAAGGCCAATGCCAATGAATGAATTGAATGATCAATTTTTCAATGATCCAATTCAAGGCTAAAGGCCAACGCCTTCCTTGTAGATTTAATTTACTAAATTAATACAAATCTTGCTAACAGTATCAGTATCAGTAGCCCAAAATGCTGTAAAAAAAGAAAATACCGAAAATACATTCATACAATTAGTAAGTAACATTAAGAAGATGATTGACTAAATATTTATAGTGTTTAGTCATGTCATTAGTCTTACTATTTAGTCTACCCTTAAAATGCTACTTTTCATATTTTTCAAGGAAGATAAGTGTATAAGTGTATTCGGAAATTCTACTTTTTCAATATTTCCGGTTGAAGAACAAACAGCAACAAACAAAAAGCGAAAGTACCAAGCAGGAAAAAAGACGTGGTCTTAGCTAGGTGTCGGCCTTAACTAAGCCGACCAAAATATGAGATATTCCTTTAAGAAGTTCATTTATTTATTTACGACATAGGCATAGGGCCTACAATCCTACATATTCATAACTTTAATTATGAAGTAAGTTTAATGGCATATAATTAGTCATAGAATTAGATAAGAACTTTAACTAAAAAAATAATAAATATGCCCTAGTTAATTTAAGCTTAGTTAGCTTAGTATTAGTAATAGTTAAGAAGAATTAAGATAGCCATGCCGTGGCCAGTGGCCATCCCCATGGCTGGCATATCATAGATGATTGATAGATGATAGTGAGGTTCAGTTTGTGTCAGTTGGGCCTACTTACTAGTTACTACCTACTTAAAATCCTCTGTAGGCACCAATTAAGTGTTTATTATTATCATAAAAATCTTATGCTTCATATATAGTAGTATAATTAATAGTATTCATAATCATAGTGGGACTAGTATGAGACAATGAGAGTATCATTATAATAATATTGGGTACTTCAACAATTTTAATTCACTGCAAAAATTATTATTATTCACACTTCCAATAAAACAAATGTTCTTTTGAATAAAGACGTTGAAGTCAACGCAAAATTTAGTGTAGATTATACATTATTTCACATTCCCATAAAACACTTCACACTTCCAATAAAACAAATGTTCCTTTTGCATTAAAACATATTTACTTCTTTTTAAAGTCCTCCCCTAATGTGGTGGCCAAATTTGAAAAATATCGTCTAGAATGGCGTTGAATATATTCAAACCATTTGCTTTAACACGTCGACACAAAATGAACCCACAGATTTAAGAATGGAGCATATGTCTGTGTGTACCATTGTTTCTCTCTTTAGCATATCTCCATGTAAGTTCGATGCATTGAGTATTGGCATTCCGGTAACTTAATGATTGTTAGCACATTGTCAGACAGCATGTATAATACTGTGTTAATGTAGAAACAAGATAAAACTGACTTAATTTTGAACTAATGCAGAAATTGTCAAAGAATTCATGGTGTCTACAGAAGCAGTTGTATTTATTAAACAGGATATAACTGCATAAGTACCTTATATTGTAATAGTCTAATAGTATACTGAGACATACTGTTCTATAGTTATAGTATAGACGAGGGGTCACCAAACTGCGGGCCGGATCATCAGGCCTACCGACAATACTTGAATTTGCTTGATAAAATGTATGGAACACGAGATGCTGAGAAACAATTTAAATATTATGTCTAGAATACAAGGAGATCTTCACTTATGACCTTCTGGCTGATATGCACCTTAAATTTACCATTTTTCATTTAAAATTATTATTATATCTAGATTTTCTTGTTTATTGCAGACCTGTTTACCCTCGAACTCGTAAAATCACACAATATCATCTCAAAATTGTACAATATGGTATCTTAATAGTAATTAAATACATATACAGTATATGTGATGAATACTATAACTACTCACATCGCAGTGCCTAGTAGGATGAAGTTAAGCATGTGTAAAAACAAAAGTTAACTTCTAAAAGTAGATGACTGACGTTTATATTGCAATCTGCGGTCACTTTGTTTTGCAGACATGTATTTGCTATAGATATTAATTCATATTGAGTGGACGTACAAATCACAATATCACAGTCTATCTCTGATAAAAATAAGGTTACAGGTGAAATTTAACATGGTTCAAACTCGAAATCAGATCAGCATAAAACTAGATGTATTTAAATAAGAATTAATTAACAAATGATGACATCATTTAAAAAACCAACCAAGTAACTTGAGGTTGTTTTTTTATATAGGAAAATCTTTTTTTTAAAAAATAAAATAAGAATCAATATCCGTTAAGCCTATTCCCCCTATTATAGTCTGATACCACAAACTGTAAATGAGTAAAGGAAGAGGAGTGTTGGAAACATATGGCGACATTAAAAATCTTACTCGCCGCGGTTGGAACTCTCAGCCTTTCACGTAGTTCAGTTGTGCGGAGAACAGAAGAACTTGGAGATAAAATAATACTACAGATACGTGAGAAACCTAGGAACTTGTTGTATCTGTCTCTGGATGAGTTTACTGATCTCTCAATTATGTCACAACTTCTTGTGTTTATTTGTGGTGTCAGTTTGGATTTTCAGATAATGAAAGAGTTGTCATCCACTTGCAGCATGCATGGAACATCAACTGGAAAAGATATTTTCATGGAAGTGCAAACAATTTTGTACGACTATAACCTTCAGTGGAATAAGTTTCGAGGTGTTACAGTTGATGGAGGAAAAACATGGCGGGAGTGCGGAAGGGTTGGTGGGTCAGATCAGGACTCATTTGGAAGATTTGCAAATTCTGTATGCTCTGTTTCTACACTACATCAGGCCTGCACAACTCAAAAATGTACGGCGGGCCGTAATACTTTATGAAAAACTTGTGCTGGTGGACCGCGGGCCATACGTTGTGCAGGCCTGCACTACATCATACATCAGCAAGCACTCTGTGGGAAAGACTTAGATGTTTCTTGTGTACTGAAACCAGTTGTTTCTGATGTGAACTTCATTAGGGACATGCCGTAAGTTCCAGGCTTTTCTTAAAGAAACTGATTCTGAATTCTGCGACTTGCCTTATCACACAGCAATGAGTTGGTCCAGCTGCGGTAGAGTCCTGTTTCCAAGCTCTGAAACGAAATAGATGTTTTTCTCACTCAAAAAGATAGAGCTGGTCCACAGCTTTCATATCCTACCTGGCTGTCAGATCCTACCTGGCTGTCATTTATGGTTGACATCATATCCCACATGAATGAACTGAACTTTAAACTTCAGGGAAAGGATAGCCCCATCTGTGATCTCTACAGAATGATCAAAGGATTTCAGAAAAAAGCTGTCATTGATCAAATCACAACTGGAAGGAAAAAACTTTTCTCATTTTCACTGTTTCAAAGAGTTTTGCACTACAATTGCCGAGGATGTAAATCTCAATTTTCCTAAAAAAATTATTGGTGACTCGAAGAAGCATTTTTGGAGAGATTTTCAGGTCTTGAGAGTGACATTCTTCTGTTCCATAATCCGTTTGGTTGTAAACTTGATGATGTGCCTTTTGAACTACGGTTGGAGCTCATTGATTTGCTAGCAAATGAATTTTTGAAAGAGAATCACAAAGAGGGAAAACTTTTTGAATTTTACAGCTGCTTACCTGATGTTGAGTTTCCAAACTGAAGAAATTTGCCGCTGGTATGGCGGCATCATAAACAAAAATAGTTATCTGCTGAAATAAAACATGTGGAACAACTTATGTCTATGAGCAAACATTTAAAAAAATGAAGTATGTGAAGTCAACACATCAAACGAGATTGACTGATGAACGTTTGAAAGCAATTCTCTTGATTGGATGCAGGAATTTGAAACCAAACATTGATTGATATCTTGAAAGCCAAACGTCAGTTTCACAAATATCACTAACATTTTTTTTGCTGCTTGGTTTGTGAGATTGGAATATGTGCGCACTATGTGTGATGTAACTATCTTTTTGCTAATGACGCTGTCTTTGATAACTTTTTTTTAGTAAACAAATATGTTGAGCTGCACTCACCCATGATTAACATGGAATGCTAAACTTAGTTTTTCAACTTTTTTCCCAGAGCTTTAGTTCTGGCTTGCAAGTATTGTACTGAATGTTGATACGGCCCCGCTTGTCATTTTTGTCCGTTATCCGGCCCGCTGTGAAAAAGTTTGGTGATAGACTATACCATATTAAATCAAACTTATTTTCTCAGTTGAATCCAAATAGCGGAAGCAAATGTGTTTGAATCCTCTTTGCCTAATTTAGGCTTAATGCCTACTAATGGAAATACTATAGACTAGAGTGCTTAAGGATGCTATAAAAGGATGCTATAAAACTCTGATGTTGGCTGTATTTATCTCTCACTCTGACTCATCATTCCATACAAAACAGGATCAACGTTGATGGTTTGTTGGTTTACTTTCCCTATGACTACATCTACCCTGAGCAGTTTCTGTATATGCAAGAGCTCAAAAGAACCCTCGATGCCAAAGTTTGTATTTCAGCAGTGCAATGTTATTTATTTGTAAACCTAGTGGAATATTGCTAACAAAGTACCTTTAATAATTCCATTCGCTCTATTTATGATAGTGACAAATGCATTTTCTTTAGCATTATCTTTTGACTTTGAAAAGCTGATTTTGAATTAAAATTTTTGTTACTGATTATAATGAGCAAAAATTTCACAATTAAAATCAATACTTTTCATGTTCTATTTTTGAAACTTTCCATTTATTTATGTGATTCACAGAATACTTTAAGCTTCTTTGCCATGTTTTGCTAAAATAACCGCTTCTATAACAAGATTTATTGTTAAAGTGCTTAAAAACCTTTAGTCTTTCAAATTAATGTGACTCATCATTATTCTGTAGGGCCATTGTGTACTGGAGATGCCCTCAGGAACTGGGAAAACTGTTTCTCTTCTCTCTCTCATTATTGCATACATGAGGGTAAGTGAAATTCATAAAAAATATCATTCAGAAGGTCTGACATTGCTAAGCAAATACTATAAAACCATTGTGTCTTAAAAAAAACCATTGTGTCTAAAGTGCATCATAGATAATTTTATTGTATTATATATCATTTTTAGGCCAACCCCCTAGATGTCACAAAAATGATCTATTGTTCACGTACAGTTCCAGAATTGGAGAAAGTAGGTATAAAATTGTTGCAGAATTTTCTTGATGTGCGGCTGTTAAACATTTCCATGACATGACTTGTGAATTTAAGACCTGGTAAAGAATAGGTCAAGAACTGGTAAAGAATAGGTCAAGACCTGGTAAAGAATAGGTCAAACCTGGTAATTCCAAGACCTGGTAAAGGAAAGGTCAAGACTGGTAAAGAATAGGTCAAGACCTGGTAAAGAATAGGCCAAGACCACAAATCTATTTAATTACTTAATTGGTAAAAGAAGTAAAAAAAGTTATGAAACACAGTAACAATTGGTCGGAGAGCATATTTTCAAAAATTATTGTTACCCAGACGCCTGTGTCTTTTCCATAACTTTCATTAAAAACTTTGTAAAACTAAGTGTATGCCTATCTACAGCTACACACTTGCTGAATATTCTTCTTGCTCAGGCTATTTTCATTTGGTTTGTACCCAGGTGGTTGAAGAGATGCGAGGGTTGCTGGACTATTATATTCAAGAAACTGGAGAGGTTCCAAACTTTTTGGGTCTGGCTCTCAGTTCTCGTAAAAACATGTGTGTCCACCCAGAGGTGGGTCTAAATTGTTCTTGTAAAAACATGTGTGTCCACCCAGAGTCAAAACAAATCAGACTTTATTTTAAAAAATTTTTTTTCTAAAATGTACAAATACTAAAATACTTGTACATTTTCCCTAAACTTTCTAAAAAATGGAAAAGAATAATTTAATTTGAAATGACTTTTTTACAAATTGTTTTGTTTTCAAAATCATCATTGAGAATTGGTGATTTCCTGTTTTCTATTTCCTTCAGGTGAGTAAAGAGAGAGATGGGAAGTTAGTTGATGGGAGGTGCCACCAGCTTACGGCTTCTTTTGTCCGCAATCGTCACAAGAGCAATCGGGATGTACCAATTTGTGATTTTTATGAGGTACGTTTGTATGTTTGATTGTTTTGTTTGAATACATTTTCTATGTTGGTGCGTCACTGGTGTTCTGCAGCTTCAACAGTATTTCTTGTCATTAGTGCTACCGAAGCTGTCAAATATTTTTCTCATGTCCCTCCTGAAGTTAATGGGGTGATGATGTTTTAATAGTCTAATGCTTATCATTTAATTTTTTTTAATAGGATTTTGATGCGAATGGCAGAAATGTCCCTCTACCACCTGGCATATTTGGTTTAGTAAGTAACTAGTATTATTAAATGTTTCTCATATTCCCATAGCTTTTAGATATTTTTTAGTTAATGACGCATGCATTTAATATAAATAAAGAAAGTCTTTTTTTAGCCAGAGCTCAGTTTTAATTCTTTATCCCCACAGGATGAATTACGAGAATATGGTCGACAGCGTGGCTGGTGTCCCTATTTCCTTGCAAGATACGCTGTGAGTTGACCAGATATATTATTTGTACCACACTCCTAATTTCATTTTGTCGGTCATTCCTTTTTTTTCCCATCCGCAATGCAGAATCTTAGTTGTTGTTTAAACTAATATTGTTCATCTAAATGACTGTGTATAATTGTTTGCTGCAGATGTCCCAAGCCAATGTGATTGTATACAGCTACTATTACCTTCTGGACCCCAAAATTGCTGATCTGGTGTCCAAAGAGTTGCCCAAACAGTCTGTGGTTGTTTTTGATGAAGCCCATAATATAGGTGAATATATATGTGTGCAAGAAATTAGTGAATACTTGGATCACAATGGCTGCCTCATTGATGAATTTAGGAAATGTATCTGCACATTTTTTTATGTTTGTGGTAAGCTTTTAATTGTCACAAAAGAAAATAAGACAAAGTCTGGTTTAGAAAGATTTTTTTTCTCACAATTTCATTATAATTTAGGCAGTTAGATTTATAAGGTATCGATATTTCACGACAATGTTTTAAAAAAAAAAAATTTTTGTAGACAACGTCTGCGTGGAGTCTATGAGCGTCAAGATAACACGCAGGACTATTGACAAATGTAATCAAAACATTGAGGACCTCAGCAAGCAGATCAAAAGGTAAAGAATTTCAAGCATAGCCTTAATTTGTAATGGATTTTGTAGATATATCGTAGTGGCTTTGGGGGATAAAGTTTTGTGGAACTTGCACACTGACACATGTATTATAATTATCAAAATAATGTAAGCTTATCTTATAATGGACATTTTTAAATATTTAATGATGAATGGATTTTTATAGGGAAACCTTTTAGTAAAAAAAAAAATTGTTGAAATAATTTTATTATCTTTTTCTTTGAAAGAATCAAAGAGGTGGATGAAACCAAACTTAAAAATGAGTACCAGCGAATGGTAGATGGGTTACGTGAAGCTAATGTTGCCAGGGAAACAGACTTAGTTCTGGCCAACCCAGGTAACTATTTGATGTGTCACTAAACTTTCCACCTCATGTCGGCGAGGATATGTTGCAGAAAAAGTTGAAACAATCCAATATTGTTTTCTATTGAGGTCTTCAGGAGGTGGGACAGACATTATTAAAAGTCTTAAATATTATAAACCAAAATCTAATGCAGCAATTGTTACAGGCTTTTAAAAGCCCATTCGTTTTACGAGTAAATAAAACTGTTTAATCCCTATTTATAAGAATCTTCAGAAATGAAAGGACATTGATGAAAATTTTTTTTTTCTTCTACAGTGATACCAGATGAAATTCTACAAGGTGAGTGTTAATTAATTAAATATAATAAAATGACAAATTATTTAGTTTGGAAAAAAATATAAATAACGAAAGGAATTGAATTTTTTAGACATTTTGTAGCTACCAAGGGCTCCCAAACAGTTTTGTTCCTTTTATTATGTGTCTGTGGCAGTTTCATTCCAAGTACTCAGTATATGGTTACAAGCATCACAGTTGCGCACCTCCATGGTGTATAGATCAGAACAAAAGTGAGAGAATTAAGTAAGATACATACAGGAACAACACACTTCTATATGTCATATGTTAAAATGACTTTGAGACAGTACTGTAGGAATGAGTCATTGACACTTCCATAAGTCATATGTTAAAAGGATTTTGAACAACAGTTGACAGAATCGCTCAACTGTCTACAGTAATTTTGGGTGCAGTTGTATAATTTTACAGATATAAAACCGTTTTTTTAAATATTTTAAGAGTCAAGATGAAAAACTTAAGGACCACCGACTATCGATACAAGTTACCACTGACTATTGATCTAAGTTTTTGTTCAATGAAATAACTACTGACCCCAATGAAAGTCCTAAGCTGATATCAATTCACTGTTTCCATTGTTTGCCACTGCAGAAGCCATTCCAGGGAACATCCGCAACGCTGAGCACTTTGTGGGCTTCATGAAACGTTTTGTGGAGTACCTCAAGACTAGGTTGAGGGTGCAGCATGTTGTGTCTGAGAGCCCGCCGGCCTTCCTTAAAGACTGCCAGTCAAAAGTTTGCATTGAGAGGAAACCATTGAGGTATCGGGAGCTCTTGTTGCACTCACAAATTGATTGATTGAATACTTATAGAACGCTTCTATACATGCTATGTTTGTTTGTAGCATCAAATTTTGTCATCCCATGTGACCCTCTTGTTAGGTTTGATGGCGTCTGCCTCGCTCTGACGTGTACAGGTGCAACTGAGTTGCTGACACAGAGTATGTGCTCTCATGACTATTGCAAGGTTGACTGCACAATAAAAAATTGTGTTGCTTTAGTGACTTTGCTATGCTATTGTTTAAAAAACCAAATAATTCTTTTGCTCATAATTTAAAGATTACAATTTAAATTCTAAAAAGTAGAAGATTAAAAAAAAATATATATTTACACAAAAAAAAAGAAAGGAGACTTCCTAACAAAGATTAGTTAAAATGCACTAAAGTGTAGAAGATAATTTAACAGTTCTCAACATGCATTATGCAAAGAAGTCTGTGCAGAAAATATTTGAAAAAATTAATAAAAAAAATAAAACCCAGCTGTTTAAGTTTTGTCTACATTTAATTTGAATCCTCTGGCTTCATAGACTGCCTTTCTAAAATATGGGTTTGAGATTATGACAGATTTATTGGGAAGGGAGAGAACCACCTGGATGTCACTTTTTGTCTCATGTTTTCTCTGTCATTTTCTTCTGTATCTACACATTTGATGTCAAATAGGAAATATTATGATAGAGTTTATAAAACAATTTTATAATACAATAATGTAATACAATTTTATAATTCAATTTAAAAAATCAACAAAAAACCTCAAAGGTAGGGTAATTAATAAATTTTCCATTTCAAATATTTCACAATTGATAAAACAATCGCTTTACAGTCTGCGACATGTCAAGTCATTGTCTTTCTTTACACAGATTCTGTTCTGAGCGGCTGGCATCTTTGCTCCGTACACTGGAACTGGCAGACATAAAAGATTATTCAGCTCTCTCCCTGGTGGCAAACTTTGCTACTATCATCAGCACATATACCAAAGGTGGGGCCACCTATAATCTCACAATAGGCATCACATTGTGGCAAATGTAATACAAGAATGATGAATTAAATTTTTTAAATATTTTGGTCTCCAATTTAAAATATAAAAATTAGTTTTATGCTGTGGACAGTTTTATGCTCTGGCTATTTTGTGGCTGTAGACCTAAAGGCCTTACATTTTTCTCCAAGCGATGGCACAAAAAATACAATTGTCAATTTTTTACCCCCATATACTTGGACTGCAGGCTTTTCACTCATTATTGAGCCATTTGATGATCGGACGCCCACCATTGCAAATCCCATCATGAACTTCAGCTGTCTTGATGCTACCATCGCAGTCAAGCCCATTTTTGACAGGTTCCAGACAGTTGTGGTTACTTCAGGGGTAAAAGAATACATTTTGGTTTTCATTTCATGAGTGTTGTTTAAAGTACATAAAGAACTGCCCCAGTAATGAAAGCAATACTATAATTTAACCAGCATTCCTCTGGTGATGGATATATACTTCTTTAAAAAAAAAAATTCAATATTCAGAAATATAAGTGTGTTTTAATGGAATGAATCATATCAGTTTTGTAGTAAATCTTCTTGTACTCTACAGACATTATCTCCCTTGGATATGTATCCCAAAATTTTAAACTTTCAACCAGTCACTATGGCGACCTTCACGATGACACTGGCAAGACCTTGCATATGTCCTATGGCAAGTATTACTTTCATAAAAATAAATTTCTTAATATTATAATTAAATACAATTATTGTTTCAGAAGTTTTTATTATTTTAAATTTCAATGGCATAATTTTAAAGCATTTCTAAAAATAAAGTTTCAGTTAACCAGTAATAATAAAAAATGTTATGAAATTAATTTTGTTATTTTCCCCAACAAAAACAGATAAATAACTATTTAAGTATTTTCCATTAATTAAAAAAAAAATATGAACAGTAACAGTTTTAAAAAGATTTATTTTATTATTAAAATATAATGTGAGAAAATATTAATTGTGTATTTTCATTCCGCAGATTGTAAGCAAGGGAAACGATCAAGTTGCCATGAGTTCAAAGTTTGAAACTAGAGAAGACATTGGTAGGTTCATGTGGATAGTTGCATTGAGTTGCAGAGATTTAGTGGTGGGTTCCTATAGAGTTAGTTCATGTGGATAGTTGCATTGAGTTGCAGAGATTTAGTGGTGGGTTCCTATAGAGTTAGTTCATGTGGATAGTTGCATTGAGTTGCAGAGATTTAGTGGAGGGTTCCTATAGAGTTAGTTCATGTGGATAGTTGCATTGAGTTGCAGAGGGGTTCCTATAGAGTTAGTTCATGTGGATAGTTGCATTGAGTTGCAGAGATTTAGTGGTGGGTTCCTATAGAGTTAGTTCATGTGGATAGTTGCATTGAGTTGCAGAGATTTAGTGGAGGGTTCCTATAGAGTTAGTTCATGTGGATAGTTGCATTGAGTTGCAGAGATTTAGTGGTGGGTTCCTATAGAGTTAGTTCATGTGGATAGTTGCATTGAGTTGCAGAGATTTAGTGGAGGGTTCCTATAGAGTTAGTTCATGTGGATAGTTGCACTGAGTTGCAGAGATTTAGTGGAGGGTTCCTATAGAGTTAGTTCATGTTTAAAAATCATTGGTTAGATCAATGCTTCCAAAACTTTTCATGTTGGTGACACACTTTTTAGAAATACATCTTTTTGTGACACAGTAAGTCAGTTTTATCACAATAACAGGGGTTCATATAATCCTTTTTAGACATTAGGGCACACATGAAGTGCAGTTGCGTAAGAATGGGGGAAGAGGGGAAAGTTATCCATGGGAATCATTTTTTAATGTATATTAAGGGGTGGCATTTTCGGCAGTCCTCAAATCTTTTAACTTAAAAGGGGTGGGAAAATCTTGCGCAAATTCTTTCCATTTCCAAATCACTATGTTGTCTCCCAACCGCTTATTGCCTTTAGCAAAAATTTGATAAATTGCTGTTATTTTCTCCTTTCCCTTCCAAGCTGGTGTTTATTTTAGTCAAATATTCAAATATGTCAGCAAGATCCAGATATGCCAATTTTGTGCACAAAAATTAATTTTAAAAAGGTCACAAAATTTGATTTTGCCCATTTTCCTTACAAAATTTGACAAGCACCCGACCTCAATGAAATTCTGCGTGTAGTTAACATCCATTGATTCAAAAATATTTGCCTATAATCTTGATGGAAGTTTTTAATATAATTTACCATTAGCACCACTTTGTCAATAACTTTTAATAAATTTAATTTCTGACAGTTTTTTAAAGTCCTAAAATGCATGAACGTAGGTATGGATTATTTATTAAATAGGTGAAACAAAGTTTGGTAAAACCTGAAAAAAGGATGCAACAAAACAATGCACAAGTCAACAAGAAGCCTTCTTCAACAAAATACACATTAAAATAAACACTTAGGTGCAATGTAGTTTCCCAGAGGACTGCAAGAGGAATGGCTTATTTAGCACAACACACATACATCGTTTAGGCGACACACTACTGTGTCCCAGCACACTGTTCAAGAAAGAAAGAGCGTGAACCCACTGCTCGTGGATCAGTTTTTGCTCTTTAATAGATATAATTTGAAATGAAGTGTGTCCTCAGGACACTCTAGGAAACACACTCATATGTTGCAATCTATAAACCAACTTACAAAATGGTCTGAAAATGAAATATACAAGTTTTCCTTTCCATCGCTATACTATAAAATAAAATGCAGTTATTTACTTCAATTTACCAGCATGTAGTTTGATAATATCTCCTTAAGTAGGGATGGCAACATCTTTGTTCTCAAATAAGGTGTTTAAAAAAAAAAAAATTTTATTACTGAAGCAGTATATTTTTGGACCATACCATAACTAGATCAGAATATAATTTGAGGATCTTAGTCGTGTTTCCATTAAATAGTTTGTGATTAGTACCAGAAGAATTCTAGGAAATAAACGTCAAAAATTTAAAAAGAATAACAGATTTTTATAAAATGAAATGAACAAACCCAGATATTATTTCATAAACGTTACACACAAAATTTTAAGTAATAACTTTTTAGAACTGATCAGTTGTTAGGATGAAGTTTTCTTGGCTCTTTCAGATTTAAATTAGCCAACATACTTAAGAAGTAATTAAGTTAATTCATGATTATTTATTCTCTTTTTTAAATAGCTGTGACCCGTAACTATGGTAACCTCCTGGTTGAAATGGTGTCTGTGGTACCAGATGGTGTTGTCTGTTTCTTCACAAGCTACATTTACATGGTAAATAAAGGGTTCAGAGAGCATGACATAAAAACCATTTCTCTGAGATTTAACACCATTTCTCTGAGATTTAACACCATTTCTCTGAGATTTAACACCATTTCTCTGAGATTTAACACCAACTGTTGATGTAAAACAAGATTTTTTAGTACCATTTTAGCACCATGTAGATATCTGACACCCATAAAAACCATTAAGATAATTGATTTCATTATTTTAATTTCAAAGGGATATATCTTACTGGGATTTCACTAAACACGATAAGTCAGTCAACTTTAAGTTTGATATTTTTTGACATATAAGTAATTTGACAGTGTAATGATTAGAGTCTACTAAGTATATGTCTGGACTTCAAAAACTTTCAGAGAATAATAGCTGAGAAATTTTTTTCAAAGGAAAGATCTGACCAGTGACATGTCGTAATGATAACAATATCTCAAACTCCAAGTTTAAGTTTTTCTTATCATTTAAAATAAATATTTATTGGGCATTTATTTTTATCACCCAGGGACAACCATTACTGCATCAAAGACGTTAACAATATTAGGCTTATACTTCTTCAATAAAAACTTGAAAAAAAATCAACAAACAAAAAAACCAGAGTGCATAACTAGTTTAACTTAAAATATGTTTAATAATTGAAGGATGTAAATTTTGTAATTATCCGACTTACATCGCAGAAGAGAGTTCTCCCTGATAGCAAATATTCTATCTTATATGCTGATCCTTTTTTTAAAAAATGCTGTTACCGTAAAGATTATCATGATTTAATGTTTTTTCACATGAATTTTTCAGGAAACGATAGTTGCAGCATGGTATGAACAGGTAAGTCCAGGAGAATTAAAAACTTTGTTCTTTTAATATGGTTGTGTGTTTTAGATTTAATACAGAACTTTGAAAGGATATTTATCATGATTAATATGTTTTGGTTCTAACCTACATGTGCCAGAAAGAACGGCTTATGAATTTAAAGCTGGCATGGTCTTTGGTACCGTCAACATTTATCTTTCTGAAACAGACCCTGATGGATGTTCTTTTTTTAATAGTGTGCATCCAGAATGTAGGCAAACACAATAATTATTCACCTATAGTTTTTAAAAAACTTGAAGTAAAAAAGTTTAAGCACAAGTAAACCTTTGAAAATAAAGACAAAACAAAATATTTGGATTGTGCAAACACTTTTTGAAGGTTAGTCCATTTAAAAGCTGGCTGTTTCTGTTTTGGTGCTGAAAAAAAAAATTTTGACAGCTTTTTAAAATGTTTCCTGAACTTAAGCACCCTGTTTTATTTACCCACCACTACCGAAATAGTTTTGATCTTGTTTATTTAATGTGCTAGGCTCCAATTCCTCTGTTGTATGCATGTGTCAAGTTATCATGTATTTAAAACAGTGAAACAAAAATAACCTTTGTTACTAGTTTTTAATTGGCATTAAAAAAAATATATCCTTATGAAAGCTTGGGAATATGAGTCTAACTTGGCAACCAACCATTCATTCCTTCATCAACAACAAAAAAGTTACTTTGCAGCCAACCATTTATTCCTTCAACAAAAACAAAAAAATACTGGAAAAATTGAATTAGAGTTGTCAGGAATTGATTATAAATCAACATTTTATTTGTAAAAGCAATCAGATGCATGTTAAAGATTTGATTCAAATTTTAAAAATGAAATATACATTATAAAAAAAAAAATGAACATTAAATTTTTACTGTTTAATGGTCACTATACTGTATTGTGTATAATATGTTTGTTTGGACCGCTGACAGGTCTAAAAATGAAAAATACATAACAACACTGGGTTTGATCATTAAACACATTGAAAAGTCATGGGGGAATGTCTGACATCTATAAAAATCTACCTCCAGGCTTGAAGCAGGTCAAATGAAATATAAATATGAAACACATCTTGAACTTAAAATAATGCCACACCACTTATTAGAGAAAAGTATGATATTTTTAAATTGACTGGTAAACAAAGAAGACCTCTCTCTTGCCATGTGTAACATTGGCAAGAAGTATAAAGATAGCATACTAGTAAAATAATGAAAAAATTTCAGATGCCTGCACGTGAACTGCTTTTTATTTTGTGTGCTATCTGTGACATTTAATTCGTGTAAGAAAATAGCTTAAAACACATGTTTTTAATTAAGTGTTTCTCATATACATCAATTGGGGCTTAATAAAATAAAATGTTGATTCATAATTTTATTGCTTTACCTCCCTTGAATTGAATTATTGTAAGCAAAACAAAAATCTCCAAATGAAGCATTAGCTGGGAAAGCAACATGTTTGAGTTGAGATTTAAATCGTTGCACTATCATTCTTTTTGTACAAGATCTGTTCAAACATGCCTATATAAGCTTGCTAATATTTAATGTCTTTCATTAACTTTGAGATTTCTTTTGGTCATAAAATTTGATATTTCTTTAGGCCTCATGACCTAAGTGTCATTAAGTCACAAAATTAGTGTTTTGGTTACCCTGTAATGTGCAGTGTTTTTTGCGTTTCACCTGAAAAGAAGAAAAATGTTAGTTCAGTTAAAGATAGATAACTATTCTTAATGTAGTGACCATGAGTTTGAGACATATGTCTCAGTACTAAAAAAAACCCCAATAATATAACTAATTTATTATACATGAATCAAAACAGGAATACATATCTAAATGTATAAAAAATATTGACAAAAGATGTAATCTTTAATTTTAGATATAGTATAAAATAGATAGAGGTAGCCTGGTACCTAAAGTTAAATAAATGTATTAAAAAAACCCATTTAATTTCAATAGTATTTCCTGAAAAGTAGAGAAAAAAGTCCTTTAACAAAAACTAAAAATGAAGAAGAATAAATTACAGTCACAACAATTTTAAGTACAGAATGATTTTTGTATTAAATAGCAATCAAACCATTGGTAACACTATTGTATGAAGTTTGTATTTATATGGCAGAAAATATTATCACAGACCAGTTGAAAAAATATTTTGGCAGCAAAAATTCATTGCCGCTAGTAAACAGGATTTCTCTCATAAAGAAAAAAAAAGGCTGCTTACTGGTGGGGAAAAAAAATCTTGAAACAAAAAACCCAAGAGAATGCCAATGATATAGTTAGTCACTCACACATCTCTACATCAATAAAGAAAGAACAAAGCACTCCAACTTGAGCGGTGTTCATTTAAATAATAAGAAATGTTAAAATTTAACATATTATTCAAATAAGTGTACTCAAAATGATGGGATATCACATTACTTTTTAGTTGTATTGCTTTTTGTTGTTGAGCGGTTGCAATAAATTAAATAAATACACATAAAAATTCTCCAAAAAAAAAAAATCACAATAATGAAAACTAATTGAGTTTACAAAATGGTTAATTTTTCCAAAGCAGTTTTTGCAAAGGATTGTAACTTGAAGAATTCCAAGTACAATAGTAAAAAAACCAAAAACAATGCCATTCAGCAATACTTATGGAAAGTCAAAATACTGAAAAATACAATGAAAGCCAACAATGTTATTCTTGTTCCTTTGAGCGGCAGCGTTTTATAATTCCAGACAGCTGTTGTATGATGTGTGTATTGTCTGCCGAAGGGTTACGGTGACTGTGTTTCAGATCTTGGAAGAGCTCACGTAACTTCTGTTCCATGACACGCTTTTGCAACTTTGGTTTGGTGTTATTTGAACGGTTACGCTTGTTAGCAAACCAAGATTTCACCTGAACATTATGTGGAAAGAAAAAGTGTTAGGAAAAGTAGTAGTTGTTTTGAGAACTTTAAGGACAGGGTTCATTCATACATTACTTAGGTATTATTTTATTTTATCAGGCTTTGTAGGAAACTTGTGTATCTAATTTGTGGATAACCACCACATAATATATTATTACGCAACTGCATCTTATTTTAGAGTGAGATTAAGGTTCGGAAATTAACTTAAGATATTTGTGATACTAAATATTCTTGCATAGGTTTGGGCGAATAGAATGTTTAAGATGTTAAGTAAATTAAGAAATTATGTTAAAACAAAACTTATGGATGTTTTAGAAAGATTCTTCTGAAACATAAAAGCTGCACACTAGTTATCCCAATTCATTTTCAGCTAACACAAATATGAGAAGGACTTTTACCTGATTTTCTGTAATCCCTCCCTCAAGTGCCATGCATTCTTTGTCTGATTTATTTGGATAGGGGTTTTGAATATTATCTTCATACCACTTGGTCATTATCTCAATAGCTCGCTGGTTTAGCGGCTCATTATGTCGACCACATTGTGAACTGTTGCTGCTACTCCTAGGCTCATTCATGTCTTTCTCCGAGTTTCTTTCAGGTTCCACTCTTCCCGTGTCCACCTTATCACCCCTGGATTTATAGTTTGATTTTTGCCTTCCTCTGCCCGTTTTACTGGTGGATGTGGATATTTTATCCGACTGGATCTGGTTTTTTCTTGGCCTGCCAAGGCGTCGAGGGGCATGGTTTAAATCAGGATCTGACCTCTTATTTTGTTTGTTGGACAAACGGTTGTTGCGCATGGCATCTGCCATAGATGGGAATCTGCGCCTGGCAGCATGGTAGTTGAGCAAAGTGGCCTCCAACTGATCGCTGCTTAATTTACAATTTGTTGGAGTCATGGAGGAGGGCATTGGGATAGGAGATGGCACATGATTTTTATTGTCCAAATAGCAAACTTGCTTTGGCCAAGGACTGTAATACCCGATCTCCTCTGATGTGTAACTGCCCTGGCTCAATGAAGGTCCAGGTGTGCTAGAGGTTGAAGATGGAGGTGTTAAAGTCGCAGGACTGTAAGCTATCATTCCTGAGCTGTTGATACTGCAGGAAGACGGTGTGGCAGAGCTAGGAGATCTAATGTCAGGCATGTATGACAGTGATTCATAGAATGTTGGTATCCCCTCAGGCTCATCAGCATCATCTGTTTCTTCATCTTCCTTGCTGCATTCTGGCTGCGAGTACTGTACTATTTCTGGTGAGGGATCCTCACTTTTGGGCCATGCAGCTGAAACGGACCAGGTATCAAAAGATGGTCTAGAAAAAGCTGTAGTTGGGTGGGTATCACATGGCTCATAGTGGCCACCACTTGGCCATGGACTCCAATCTGTGTATGGAGAAAAGTGGCTTCTTGGTGCTCCCTGGTAGTATAAATGGTTGTAAGTTGAGCATTGGCCATAGCATTGTTTGATGTATTGGTCATACACTGAAGAGTCTTGCATTGCCCAGTTGGGCATGTGGCTGTGTAAAGCCAAGTTATGCATATTTAATGAAGTCGCAGCTGACTCTGCTGTTTTAAACACCTGAGAATGGCTGTGGGGCTGTACTGATAATGGCTGATAGCTGTAGTCTTGAAGGGGGCCATCCCCATTGGTGTACATGTTTGTGTACTTGTCATTCTGCAGACATTCAGAATCGTCATATTCTTTTTTCAGAGTCATATTGTCTTTCTGCAATGTTACTTCACCATCTATTAGTGAGCTGGCATGAGAGAATTCATTGCAATAATCACTCTGGGGATCCCTGCTAGATAGACTTTCTGGCCGGAAGTCTGTCATAGATATGTCAAAAATACCTTTATCTGAAATGAGAGGCTTATGAGTTTCATCATCCAGGTCAACAATTAAATTTTCATGAGAGTCACTTCTGGTCTTGTCCTGGCTCAAACCATCAATGGACATCATGCTGTTCTCTTGAAATGAATGATAATCCTCCAGTGTAGAAAATATTGTACTGAATTCAATATTTTCATATTGATCACCAAGATTAGGTATTACCTGTGGGTTTTCGTGGCCTGTCAGTGAATCATAATGGGGACTGTATAAATTTTCAGTGCAACTGATGGGCACTAGATAAGGGTAGCTTTCGTAGTTGACCTTAGTTACCAGTGGAGAGCTCTTGTGAAAATCTGATCCTTTATCATCTGAAATCAAAAGTGCATTGCAAAAACTATTGCCATTGTGGATATCAAAGTAATGAGTGCCTTGTGTCGTGCTTCCTGTGATTTTGGTTTCTGAAGAGTCACTGCTGTGTCCATCATCATATGTGTCCAGATCAATTATGTGCAGACTCATATGATCTGCACAAATCTCTTTCTCAGTTGTAGAAGTTGTAGTAAAATTATTTATCTGAGTGCAATCTTCAGTAGTTTTGTAAGACTCGGTGGCAATCAATTGGCTTTCCTCCCAAATATCTGAGTAGAAAATTAAAACATAGTGACAATTAGTATTAGTGTGAGCTCTTACTTAAGGTTATTCTATGGCCATAATGCTAAATTTTCAAGTACATAAAAATATTTAAAAGATCTTACTCTTTAATTTTTACTTAATGTTAATTAATATTAAATGGGGCTTTATTTTGCCAAACAAACAACTTTTAGACAAGCATCAAAATTATATTTTAACTATCACAATATTTGTAATCCTATTATGCAATTAAATGAGCATGCAGCATACTAATGGGGACAAAATTTGGTCCGAAGCTTATTTATGAAATATTATTATATTCTCTGTTCTAGTTTTAAGTTTACCATTTACCTTTAGTATTTATATCTGGAGCAAATGATCCAACCGCAATGTCAGCTGGGCGGCCTGTAATTTTGTTTGCAGTTTCCAAGTCCGATAGTTCTTCAGTCAATTTATCAAATGCTTCTTGGTCTGCGGTTGCTTTATCATTTAACTCTTTCTTTTTTTGGAAGTCCGACGGAAGGTCTAAATCGATTTTAATAACGCTCCTATTCTCACCACAATCTTGGATGTCTTCAGTAGTAGAAGAAATGTCAACAATAACCTGGACCTGGTTGTGTTTTTCGTTTGCGCCACATAGTTTTGAACGAGTTGTCATTCCTTGTTCCGCTAAAGAAGATGATGGTGTGCCCGCCATCACTGCTTACTTAAGCATAGAATAATTATTTATTACATACAAGCTAACTTTGAATTATAAACGATTTTGCTTGGTCGTTCCATGTGTTTCCCAGCTTCAGAAGTTTTGCAACCAAACTTCCCTCAACTTCCTTGTGTATGTGAGGTACTGATTTCCTTTCTCTTCTCTCGCAACTGTTTTGTAACGGGTTACATCATTGGCTCAACACGATATAGTTCTTTTATGTGATTGGTTTCTGAAGTTAGGCCTACGATTTTAATTGGATATTTTTATTTAGTACATATTACAGTGGTAATGTGACTTGTCATGTGACTTAAACTTTTTTTCTTGGTCTTAAAAAAAAAAACAAAAAAACAAAAAAACAACTAATAAAAAAAATAAAAAATAAACTGCATCAGTCGTTCACAACCTTTTTGCACCAAAGTGCCAGATTCATTTAATCAACTTTGCTAGTTACCGGTACTCCAACACAGGGAGGAAGAATCCATGACTGTATATATATCTACATTTATTTTTTTATACAAATTATTAGTCTCTGTTTTATTAATCTATATAAAATGTTCGGTCTCAAAAGAATTTAAAGATTATCTCAGGACATGTTTCACGTCCCAGCGGCTTCTCTTTTGGTTTTATTAGCTCAAAGGTCAAACTGTGCTTTCTGACACCTGTGAATTCAGAAGGAATTATAGAATAGTTGTACCAACTACATTTTCACTCCGTGTTGACATTGTTCGACGTATTTTTATTCAAAAACTATACATATTATCGCAGTTATTGTTCTATGTCCTTAGGTCGGATGATTGTAACCTCTCTCTCTCTCTCCCCAACCGTGGTGCAGGCACGAAATCAACGTCTGACAGCAACTATGCACGTGCGACAACTGGGTGACCTCAGAGCACTTACAATACAAAACTGTTACTGAACACGTATTGGCTACATCAGCGTTCCCCTAATGGACACCCCCTCCCCCCTCTTTGTTGACAACTGCACTCAGCGGTTGCGAGGTGGGAGACGGGGGGAGAGGGACGGTGCTTTTCGTGAGCGTCCGGTGACAGGGTGAAGACGCGATCCATTCCAGCATATTCACCCGGTGCCGTCCGCACCCCCTAGTAACCCCCGCACTCTTTGTAACCCCGCACCCCCTAGTGACCCCCGCACCCCCAAGTGATCTCCGCACCCCCTAGGGACCTCCACACCCTCTAGTGACCCCCGCACCCTCTAGTGACAATGGAAGGTGTAAGGAGCACTGTAACTCGAACCGTCAACGTTATCAGAGCCAAAGGTTTAAATAACCGCCAATTTTTGGCAGAAAAATCTCAGATTTCGGCAACATATCATACAGGGGTGCGGTGGCCAAGTCGAGGAAAAGTTCTTAGTAGTATACCAGGACAGTTCTGTACACCAGTACAGTTCTGTACACCAGTACAGTTCTGTACACCAGTACAGTTCTGTACACCAGCACGGTTCTGTACACCAGTACGGTTCTGTACACCAGTACGGTTCTGTACACAGTACGGTTCTGCTGCATCTTTAACCGCATCCTCTCAACTAGTCCACTTCCCTCGCAGCACATCGCCTGTGCTCCGTCTGTTGTAAGTCCAACAAGTTTGTCCCAAGTCAGGTTCATGGTGGTTAAACTTTGACATACATTGTCAGAATGTCTTTTCCTGTCGTTGTCCTATGCATGGATTTCACGTCCAATATTTCTTCTGTAACATTCAAACTGGAGTCCACTCCACGGATGAAGATGGCGAGCTGTGCAGCGTCAGTAATGTCATTACTTTCATCGACACTAAGTGAGAATGCAAAAAAAAAGTCTTCGCCTTTTTCGATCAGCTGTGTTTTCGCATCAGTTGCCATCTCTCGTAGTGCCGTCTCAGATAATATTCCTTTATCACGGCCACATAATCTCTACAAATTTGACACACAGTTTACCGCCAATATCAGTAAACATATATTTAGCCTCTCAGCGACTTTGAAAGGCACTGTTTTTAACGTTTCTCTTGGCTATCTTAAGGCTAGCTTTGATTAAAAAAAAAAGATTGTGCTTCGATTGTGCTTCACGTTAGACGTAGCGGTAAAAGGTGATGGAATATCCGGGCACTAAACTTCATTCATTTCTAATGCACCAATCCAAAACGAGCACCTGAACGTTGATAGGTTACTGTAAAGACGAACCTCCACTCACTACACAACTTTAATCTCGCGTATTCTGATAGAATGAAGAACGCTCTCGGGTAGCCTATCGTTTGGCATGGCTGCTCATTAGGGCATTTGATTGGCACTTTAAATCACAGGACAAATTAAACATATTTTTGCTTAAAATTCTCTCTCGGGCCGGATATGGCCCGCGGGCCTTGAGTTGGACACATGTTTTCTAGCAGCATTCGCTAATTTGCTTTCATGTTACTGCTTCCATAATGTGTTATTTTTCCATGACAACCTTCCATTCATCCCCTGATATGTCTGATTTTTGTATTATTTTTGTTTTTCAGGGTATCATTGACCAGGTACAGAAGCACAAACTACTTTTCATCGAGACACAGGATGCCGCAGAGACGTCCCTGGCTCTACTCAATTATCAGAAGGTAATCTGTTCAGTTGGTCCCTGGCACTACTCAATTATCAGATGGTAATCTGTTCTGTTGGTCCCTGGCTCTACTCAATTATCAGAAGGTAATCTGTTCAGTTGGTCCCTGGCACTACTCAATTATCAGAAGGTAATCTGTTCTGTTGGTCCCTGGCACTACTAAATTATCAGAAGGTAATCTGTTCAGTTGGTCCCTGGCTCTACTCAATTATCAGAAGGTAATCTGTTCAGTTGGTCCCTGGTACTACTCAATTATCAGAAGGTAATCTGTTCATTTGGTCCCTGGCACTACTCAATTATCAGAAGGTAATCTGTTCATTTGGTCCCTGGCTCTACTCAATTATCAGAAGGTAATCTGTTCATTTGGTCCCTGGCACTACTCAATTATCAGAAGGTAATCTGTTCATTTGGTCCCTGGCACTACTCCATTATCAGAAGGTAATCTGTTCTGTTGGTCCCTGGCACTACTAAATTATCAGAAGGTAATCTGTTCAGTTGGTCCCTGGCTCTACTCAATTATCAGAAGGTAATCTGTTCAGTTGGTCCCTGGTACTACTCAATTATCAGAAGGTAATCTGTTCATTTGGTCCCTGGCACTACTCAATTATCAGAAGGTTATCTATTCATTTGGTCCCTGGCGCTACTCATTTATCAGAAGGTAATCTGTTCAGTTGGTCCCTGGCACTACTCAAATATCAGAAGGTTATCTGTTCATTTGGTCCCTGGCTCTACTCAATTATCAGAAGGTAATCTGTTCATTTGGTCCCTGGCACTACTCAATTATCAGAAGGTAATCTGTTCATTTGGTCCCTGGCACTACTCATTTATCAGAAGGTAATCTGTTCAGTTGGTCCCTGGCATTACTCAATTATCAGAAGGTAATCTGTTCATTTGGTCCCTGGCACTACTCAATTATCAGAAGGTAATCTGTTCATTTGGTCCCTGGCTCTACTCATTTATCAGAAGGTAAATCTGTTCATTTGGTCCCTGGCACTACTCAAATATCAGAAGGTAATCTGTTCATTTGGTCCCTGGCACTACTCAATTATCAGAAGGTAATCTGTTCATTTGGTCCCTGGCTCTACTCAAATATCAGAAGGTAATCTGTTCATTTGGTCCCTGGCACTACTCAATTATCAGAAGGTAATCTGTTCATTTGGTCCCTGGCACTACTCAATTATCAGAAGGTAATCTGTTCATTTGGTCCCTGGCTCTACTCAAATATCAGAAGGTAAATCGTTCCGTTGGTCAATGTTGCTTTCATGTGTCCCCCCTTTTTTTTTTTTTGTTAAGACTTTGATAGTCTGCATTTTATGTGATGACAGAAAGTTAAAATGTACCAGACGCCATGTGACTCTCTTATGGGATTTTGTCTTTAGGTTTAAAAGATTGAAAGATTTTTTAAAGATCATTTTTAGAGCTGCCCTAAAATTCTTTAAAGATGTGAGATCAAAATTTTGTTTAAAGTTCACCCTAAACGTGTTTGAAAGACTCAAAGAAATATCAAGAAGAAACTTGAATGCCGAATCAAATCTCACTGAGGTAAAAAAACTTTTTTTAAAATTTGATCTTCATGGTTAAAATACATGTATTTTTATTTTGCATTTTTTTTCTAAATCTGAAACTTGTCTTGGTCTCCTCCAGGCGTGTGACAATGGCCGCGGTGCTGTCTTGTTGTCTGTGGCCAGGGGGAAGGTGTCTGAGGGTATCGACTTTGGTAAGTTGACCAGCTGAAAAAAAATAAATCTATTTTCTTACAGGTTTCCACCAAAAAAATCCATTTAGCCGATGTACCTATGTAATCAGTTGCGAAGCTTTGGGGGTTGGTTGGTGGTAATGGGTTGATAGCCAGAGTAGCACTTTTAAGGTTAACATGGGTTGATAGCCAGAGTAGCACTTTTTAAGGTTAACATGGGTCGATAGCCAGAGTAGAGACCGACCGAATTTCGGCTTCGGCGCCGAAAGTGGCCATTTTATTACTTTCGGCCAAGTTTCGGTTTCGGACGAAACTGAAAAGTTAACTTTCGGCTTAATTTCGGTTTCGGCCGAAGGAGAAAAGTTAACTTTCGGTTTTTCTTCGGTTTCGGCCGAAATTGACTTAGACTTTCAGCCATCCGGCCAAAAGTGACTCAGGTTTTCAGTCATTTTAATACTCAGCGAAATCGATAGTTAACAACAACTAAGCCACATTTAAGAACAAATTAAGCGATCTTTGAGAACAAACTAAACGATATTTAACAACAAACTAAGGGAATTTAAGAACAAACTAAACGATCTTTAAAACAAACTAAGCGATCTTTAAGAACAAGCTAAGCGATCTTTAATAACAAACTAAACGCTCTAAAAGAACAAACTAAACGATTTTTAAGACCGAACTAAATGATCTTTAAGAACAAAACAAATGATCTTTACTACTAATTATTACTACAATTATTACTAAATGATTTATAAGAATAAACTAAGCGATCTTTAACAGAAAACTAAATGTTCTTTAGGAACAAACTAAAAGATCTTTAAGAACAAACTAATCTATCTTAAGGAACAAAATTAATTATCTTTAAGAACAAACTAA